ACTTCTCTGTATGTGAAACTGGATAACTCTTCTTTAAATAATGTCTGAGATTGGGGACATAAAGTTTGTAAGGAATGGGTTTTGAAACTTGCTTAGGCATTTACAGATGTCTCTAGCTTTTTGAAATTCCATCTTTTCTTTATATGTAACTTAGAGTGTTTCAATATTATGAAAATGCTACTTGGCTTTTATGGATGCTTTGGGTAAAATTCTATTGTCACCTTGCTAGATCGAATGTATAAAACCATTTTTATCTTTTTCACAATGAAGTGACTGAAAATTCTTGAGGTTGCTGAATAAAACACACAGGTCTAAATCACTAATTCCCAACAGGTGATTAGCAACTGGTTCTTGGTTTTGGAGACACAAAGGCAGGACCAGTACAACCCTCCCCAGTGAGAGTTGTTTGCTCGAGAGAGTATACATTTGACACTGCCCACATTGCTTTTCTTAGGTAGTGTGACTTCTAAAACATCCAGAGAATGCTTAACACAAAACAGCTAGCAAATAAATAGGGCAACTAAAGGAGCACATACTACAAGCCTGCCATCTGATCCTGTATCCCTCCTAGAAATCACTTCTGCACAGGAAAAATGGCTATAAAGAAAAGGAATAAAACTTTATGGTTCAGCCCATCACTGTCTTGTTCAATTTAACAAGCACTTTTCATTTTCCAGCTGCTGCAAATATTAAACAAGAACCATGAAATCTCTCTGGGGAGTATCACAGTTACAGGTGCAGTGCTTTCTTGTATAATGTCAGCTTTTGTTCAGTAACAATGTCAGCCATCTTTTCATTCATTGCTTTCATCCTTCTGGTCAAAATCCAGCGTATGTCACACTGTAAACCAGGGTACAACACATACAGTGCACCTGAGGTCAAACACCCCATCTTATCTTAGAATCAGTGTGACATCTAATCCCATAATGATCTTTTGCCTCTCGTTACACATCTAAGAAATAGCACCGTGAAAATTAATATACATCCACCAGCATAAAATGAAATGAGAAAATGGAACCCAAAGTTTTAGTAGGCACAGCAGCGGATAACAATAAATCATTTTTCATCTACCATGGACTGTCCATTTTTTTCACGAAGGTGTATTACTACTTCTGAGAGTTCACAGCTGCTCTCTTTTCCCTGCATACAAAATATATTTGGCTGTTCTTTCTGATCCCTTTCTTGTGCCTGGTATTTAATTATATTTCAAGTTTCAACTTTACAATGCAAATTGGTCACAAAAATTTTAGAACTTCATAACTAAATTAAATTATACAAGTCGGAAGAGAAATGGCTACTGACCTCTGCATTCATGTGTGGAGACACCCTACTCTGGAAAAAGCTCTCCTGTAGAATCCAGCTGCTCTGCATTTTGTAATCAGAAAGCACAGAATTCTGCAGTCGCTCAGGTGGTGTCAAGCTGAGTTAATGAAGAGATCAGGTGTCAGTAATGAAGGCTCTAGTTCTGTTACAGAAATAACAGCCTGGACAGCTAAACCAAACTCAATCTACAAAATAAACATTTCATTCTCCCCGCATTTTTTTATAAAACCAAGCAGCCTCCCAATTATACTAGCCTATATTTGTAAAGAGTGTGAAATTATTTTTTCCCCAATGATAAGCACTTGCTCGAGGCTCTCTTCTGTAGATGTCCTGTGTCCAGGGATCCCACAGAAGCCACGAGCCTTTTCACCTGACTGCTCTCGGAGCATCTGCATCAACATATATATTCATAGTGGCAGGATGACATTAATTTCAATAACATGAACAGCAAAAAGCACTAAAAGGAAAAATGGCATTCTTAATTTGCGGTTCACCCTCAGTAATTCTGGAAAAACGTTCTTGAATGTTAGTCAGCATTCAGCTGCAATGTTAATGTTAAGCAGACATCACCTAAGCCATCTATTCCTGAATACGTTCTTTAAATTGAGGCTTTAATAAATATTTTAAATTCTCTCATTCTTTTGATAGTATCACCTCTTTCTCCCTGTTCTCCTGCAAACAGGATTACATTAACTGTCCCCTGGCTTTTAAAAAAGCTAGAAATTCCTTCTCAGCAGAGTAGATGCAGTACAGAAAATGCTGCATCAAATTAAAAAAAATCTCACCTGGGAAAAGATGTGATCAGTTAAAGCAACTACAGAAGCATCCTGGCAAGGCCCTACTTCCCAGGGCCACAGAATTCAGCTTTTTCTACAGCAGAGAACACGTTTCAAGTGCCACTAAACTGGCCAGTCTGACAGATTTGAACTGCTCTTGAGGTAGAAGTTCTAATGCTCATCACAAAGAGTGTATCCCTAATAAAATCTGTGGAAATTGCAAGCTCTTCAGAGTCGTAAGAATTCACAGGCATGCAGAAACACACTACCAAGTAGCAGACATTACTTGAAAACACTGTAGAAATACTCAAATTTAATTCAGAAAATATCTCTATGTGCTTATATTTAACTTAAGGGCTATATTTACAGCATGTATTATTCTACACGTTGAAAACTGACCGTGCATACCCTTCCCTGGTCCTCATCCACACAATACTGATAATGCCTGTAACCCTGTAATTCTTCTCTTTCAAATAAAGTTTGCTTGTGAATCCTAACTCTGCAGATTTAGCCATATAATAAAAATGGCCCAACACCTTTTATAAAACGCCAAAAGATACTAAAACTGAAAGAAAGCAGCAGTAGTAATATCTATCTTAGATATATCTGTTATTTGGAACAGGTATCCCAGCACAGCAGGCCATGACATTCAGTACGCTTCCTGTTCGTGCGGGCTGGGGGCTGAGCACTCAAGAGGCTGAATGCACCCAGTGAATCTGCTGGCGCAGGACTGCAATTGGGCATCTTCCTTCTCCTAATTACTCATCTCCTAATAATCAGTCTAAGCTAAATTCCCGTACTGGCTCTTGGAGTGTATGGTGGCCCTCAAAGCACAGCTCCCACAACAATCCAAGGAGCAAGTGGATGCGTGTAACTGAAAACCAAATTTATTCTAAGTAGGCATTTGTGGTATTTTGGCAGGATTTGTCAGATTATTTGGATAATCTAACCTGTACTACAACTCCAGTGATGGTCTATCAGGAAAAAAACCCAAAAAGACCAAGGCATCAGGATATGTCTACACTGCAGACCATACCATTACCATACTATTGCAGAGTACAATATGCCAACTTTCTTCTACACTGAGAACTCATTTTCAGCTAAACAAAATACAAACATTCACACGTTCTCAACACGGACGTATTAAAAGGGACAAATAACTGATATTTGTTGGTAAAATGATTCTCAGCACTGTTTCTGCATGCTTAGTGTTTACTGCCGTTCACACAAAGAGCTAAAAGGGTTCCTCGCTTGACTGCTGTAAGAGCTCCCTCTGCTGTTACACATAAAAACTACCAGAAAACACCTTTCATCATCCTTGCATCCTTTTCATATTCAAGCAGCGAATTTTCACACACTCCATCCTGTGAGGTGAGAATGGACACGATTTTTTGAGATAACTTTTCGTGCTTATTTTCTGCACAAGCAACTGCTATGTTACTCCACTCTTCCAGAGTACTGATGGTATCATTTAGAGTAACCTGTTCCAAAGCATCCAAGAAAAAAAAAAAACCCTGCATCATTTACAGATCCTGCATTTGTCCTAATAAGCTCTGTACTATTCCTATTACGGAGACTGCACAAATCATTCAGTTTTTCCAAATGAATTATAAAGGCAGAAACAGCCAAGCAGTCAGGTGTCCTTCAGGAACTTCAGCAATCATCTTTCAGCCTAACTGAAGAGCCATTAATGCTATGGAAGAATGGAACACTGGTCACGGGTCTTTTGACTTAGGTAGACTTCCTCCTGATTTAGGACAGCTTTGTGATGCTTTATAATTTCAAAACTGCCATAAAGTTAAGAAAAATGGTTATTAAGCATGAACCTTTCTGTAACTTCTGGTAGTATGTATTCATCATAGTGGGTTCTATTTGACTACAGTGTATACAAGGGCACAACACCCAGGTGAAAATACACCAATCCTTTATTGGTAAGACCAGCAGGTCACAAGTGGTCTGCTAACACACTTTCCCCCCTGAAAACAGAAGCAGCAAGCCACTTTTTACTTATTAATTCCTCATTTACCTGAAGGATGTTTGTTATTTTGACAAACGCATTGCTGTTTATCATGTAACACTCCTCGGATGGTCCTTGCTCAGCATAACGGGCTTCCTCAGTTTCTGTCACTATGTATGTTCATTTGCTCACCAGAAATGTCAGGTCCTTCAGGGAGGAAGGACAGAATGTTTCTCTGCTCCCACACGATGGTTTGGCATAGTAACTTATCCCCTTTCTTAGAGTCTTAAACCTTTTTCTTCCTTTGTTCAAGAACTACCTCAGGCCAAAACGCAGAAGAGCTGAAATGGTTATAACAGTAACAGCTGATATTCACGTATTTAAGCAAATCTTCATTGTGCTTTAAGCCTTCCTTCATTCAATTTTTAGGTGAAAAACCGCCTAACAAGCACTTTCCGAACCGATATGACTCTCACTCCTCCTCTATTCCTATTTATGGGTTTTCTCAATCTGAAAAAAATTTGCCCTGAAGACCCAGAGGGTGGGCCGTTGCTTCAACAGCCCCCCACAGACCTGTCCCGTGGGGAGAACATCCATTTCTGCTATTTCAGCGCAGCCCTACGGAAACGCAACCACAAGAAACGCCATTCCCAAAGCAACAGCAGACAGGGGAGGGTCGCTCCGGCGCCTAAGGTGGACGGAGGAACCCTCCCCCAGTCGTGAGGGCGGGCTGAGGTGCGGCCTCCCTGAGGGCAGCCGCAGTGCATTGTGGGAGCGGCAGCAGTGCATTGTGGGAGCGGCCGCTACTGCGTTCCCGCCCAACCCCCGGGCCGGGACTACGACTCCCGACAGGCCGCAGCGCGGCGGCCGCCGGCGGGGGGAGCCGGGAGCCGTAGTCCCGCCCCTCAGCCGCCGCGGGTAGAAACCCCGTGCAGGGGCGGCGCGACACCCTTTCAGGCGGCCGCCATTCCGCGAGCAGGGCGCGGGTGAGTCTTGCCGGCGCGGCCGTACGCGTGGCCGCTTCCCTTCTGTCCCCCGGCTCCAAGTGCCCCTCACCGCCTCTCCCCCGCAGGTGCCGGCCTCGCCATGCAGATCTTCGTGAAGACCCTCACGGGGAAAACCATCACCCTCGAGGTGAGCCGCCGCGGCCCCCTCCCCATGCTGCCTCAGGCGCGACGCGGTTGCAGCCCGGCTCCGAGCGGCGGCAGGGCCGCGCATCCCCCTCCTCAACCATTCCAGACCAACCGGTGCCTTCTGGGGCCCCGAAATGTCGGGATACAGCAAAAAAAAAAGCGCCGACCGGTACCTTCTGGTGCACCGAAATATCAGGATGCAACGAAAAAGGCCAGGCCTGCCCCGAGCTGCCCGGGCCGAAATGGCAGTGACAGCATCCGTGGTGCGGCGGAAGCTCCTCGTGGTTTTTGTGCTTCTCTTGGGCTAATTAAAACGCAGAGCGTGTTTTTACTCGTTGTTTTGTTTCATAATAGGTTGAGCCTTCTGATACTATAGAAAATGTAAAAACTAAGATCCAGGATAAGGAGGGTAAGTTCAATATGCACTTAGTCCTCCCTGTTGGATTGATGTACATCTTAACGCAGATGTGATTTGTCTGCAGTAGCCTCTTACTTTACTCTAGAATGTCATAGTTCACATTCCTCATTTAATCTCGATTTATGTCATCATTAGGCATTCCTCCTGACCAGCAGCGGCTGATTTTTGCTGGTAAGCAGCTAGAAGATGGACGCACGCTGTCTGACTACAATATTCAAAAAGTGAGTTGAAAGGCTGAACGGAATGTTATAGTACCAAATAGCTGGCACTACTCGAGCAGACCAACCTTGGTTGCTGCTCAGCCTAAGAAATCTTTCAAATGGATTCAACCAAATCAATTGATTTAGGGTTGGATAGCACTTCTGACTAGGCAAGTACTGATGTTAGGCCTAGAACTGACAGTTGTTGCAGCTCAGTGTCTATTTGCAAGTCAGAATAAAACATTTCTCACCGTTTCCACTTCTAGTGCTGCCATTCTGTCAGTCCTGGCCTGTGGCACGCTGTGGTGAGCTGCTTTAGGGGGATAACATGAAAAATTCTGCTCACTTCTGCCAGCTGAACCTGACAGCAGGCCAGTGCCACTAGAAAGGAGGAGCAACTAATAGCCCTCAGTTTGGCTTAGTTAATCATGGAACTATTCTGCGAGTGCCGTTAGACCAGCGAGATATAGTCACAACAGATGTTATAGTAATTGAACCTTATGGGGTTGGGGGTACAGCAGCCCCCAGTTCACTGGAGCCCATGTGTTTACACATTAATGGCAAATAATCCTTTTAGAGCTTTGCTTATTACCTGGCACTTGAGATCTACTTTCTGTAGATAAAAGGAAAAGCCTGCTTAACTGCTACTTTTGTCTTGAGAAAGCATTTAGAGTCTCTTTCATGTGCTTTACAAATAGGAATCAACTCTTCACCTTGTGCTGAGACTTCGTGGTGGTGCCAAGAAAAGAAAGAAGAAGTCTTACACTACTCCTAAGAAGAACAAGCATAAGAGAAAGAAGGTTAAGCTTGCAGTGCTTAAGTACTACAAGGTGGGTAGAATTAACTCTAGGAGAAACTCAATGAAAACTTAGCTCTCACCAGGTAGGACATGAAGCCTCTTAACCAGCCTGCATGCAACCTGGTGTATTCTAATTGCAAACATCCCCCCTGTTAAATCAAAGGGAAACTGTTGTGGCTGGGCAGCTGCTTCAAGAATTTTGATGTACTATCTATCAAAAAAAATGACTTGGAGTTGTTTTTTTTTTGTTGAAGCGATCATCAGTGCTAAAATGTGGCGGGTATATATGTGAGATGTTCTGTCTTTGGCTTTCCCAGGTGGATGAGAACGGCAAGATCAGTCGCCTGCGCCGGGAGTGCCCCTCTGAGGAGTGTGGAGCTGGAGTCTTCATGGCTAGTCACTTCGACAGACACTACTGCGGCAAGTGCTGTCTGACCTACTGCTTCAATAAACCAGAAGACAAGTAAATGTACTAGACAATAAAAATCTGAAGTTCTGTACTGTTTAAGTATTTATTTCTACTTTCTGGGGCACTGTGTTTCATCTCTGATGCTAAGCAAGAAAAATCTGTGAAACTTTGGATTGCTGACTGCCAACTAGGATGAAATACTTTGGCTGTAGAACTGAAGCAGTAACTTTCTCTTTAAAAGAATGGTTAGTTAAGTCTCCTTCAAAGGAGATAAGGGTAGCAATGGCAGAGGAAATAAAAAAAAACCCCACACCACTAGTTAACCTTACAACTGGTCTCTAAACCAAAGAGAAGCAGACAGTACAGCAGTCCTAATCTGGAAAAACGAGAGGAAGAGAGCTGCAGTCATGCCTACATGTGGGGCAGTGCTAGAGAGAAGGGGAGCAGAGTCCCAACAAAACGCAAACCGCATCCCAGTGAACTACAGAGCAGCACAGAGAGGGAGAAAAGAGATGGCTCAGCTTTTTTGGAACCAAAAGATGGTCATCAGTAACATTTAAACCATGATGGTTTTACACCCTTGGAAGTGCTTGCAATTAGTTGCTTTAGTATATCCTGTTTTCCAGTGAGGGAATCTGGTTGTTAAACAAGATTTAAAAGCAGAACCTTGTTACAGAAACAGTAGATACAAAGAAACTTGTCTCTGAAAGTCCATTTAATGTTAAGAGTTGAAGGGCAGTCAGGAATAATACATGTTCTCGAGTGTAAATGTATTCAAACGTATTTTAAAATCCTGGATCCCAGGAAGTTGTCTGTTGAACTTCTTTTTCTTCGTAACAGATAATTCCATCACCAATATTGAATTCTAGATACTCATCCAAACTCAATCCGCAATCCATACCCACTTTTATTACCTGGACATCATCTTTATGATGCTTCAGCGACGATAAAGATCCTACAGAGAGAAACTGTGTCAAAGCAAGCGAGCCTGCTAACCTTAAAAGCATGGAAGTTTTCTGGTTTGTCCTTACAGAATTCGTGTTTTGCCTTGTAATTACAAAATGAAAGCAAGAAAACGTAGGGATTATGAACACTTGCAGATAATGAAAGTCAGACATCTCAGCAGGTAAATCCTGTGCTGCTAGTGCTTTCCTGTCAGAGGAGGGCAGGGTAGGACAAGGTCTGGAGAGCAGTGCAGAGGCACTGCAGAGGCACTGGGCAGCTTTTCTGTAGTTGGAGCAACTCCATCCCAAGCAGCATTGGGGACTGCCCTAAGAAACAGCTCTGTGCCTGTTGCACTAACCTCACTGGGAACGAGCAGTGTACAATACTGAATGCAGATACCTTTCTGTGGCAATTACTTACCTTTCCAAATAACATCCCCCTTACGGATTAACTTGAATTTCATTTTTTTGTCTAGCAGCCCCTTCTGTACTCTGCATCCAGCTACTGGAATTTTGTTTTTTCCTACAGTGACAGAGAAGATGTCCAGAACAGAAGCTTCCCCTAAAAGAAAAAAGTAAAGGTGTATGAAGTACACAAGAGTAACAAACTGGCAATAAGTAGAAGCAAGCTACACTCTTCCCTGTGTCAAGCTTAAAACAAAAGCAGCTACAGAGGAATATAAAGCATTTGTTAAGTAGGAACATTTTACAGGAGAATAAACTGTAGGCCACATGGCGAAGCAAAGCTTTTTAACAAGTCAGTCAAAACTCACCTATTGTGTTCTCCTCCACAGATGGGGGTAGTCTGCTATTTAGCTCATCTTTCAAGTCTTCAATAAGTTTGTAGATTATATTGTGAAGTTTAATTTTTATTCCCTTTTTAGCAGCCAGTTGTTCAATGCTTTGATTGGCTTTCACACAGAATCCAAATACAACACCTGGTAAATAAAACAATGGGCAAGTGGTGACTATAAGACGTCACTCAAAAGGGTAAGTGGAAACGTGTGCTGTGTCTATACTTTCGTGTTCAACTTGCAGCTGGCAGTCAGCAAAACAAGAAACAGAATTTTACTGCTGTTACCCTTTCAAAGAGGGACCATTTCTTTCTGCCACTGGTGCACATTGACTGCCATGAACTTTTGTATCAAAATAAGTGGCTCAAAAAAAACTCTTGCAGAAAGTTTCCCAATGACAGAATGGGAGGTACCAAAGCAGACACGAAGTTTTAAACACAGCTCAGCAGAGCTTACATAAAAGGGACAAGGACCTTCCCTTCTGGGGCTGGAAAAGCAGCGTGGCTGTCCCAGTAAAGGTGAAAGTGAACTCATTCTCATCCAACTGTGGAGTACAGCAGGTCCAAGGACCCCACCTCTACAAGAATTGCAGGGTACCAGCATGAACAGCTACTGCCACAGTCTTTCCAGTTACCTCCCTGAGCAAAAGGAATTTCTTTTGTAACCTCCTTCTCAAGCTTTGCCCTGTTTGAGCATCATAAAGCAACCTGAGTGAAGAGTTTAACCTTAACGGTTCAACTACTGGCAAGGGCTTATCACGAGTCCTTCCACTGGCATGTGATTTATAGCCTTCCCTGCCTGCTCTGTTTGATATTAAAGATTTTTAAGACAGATACAGCTTTAACTTGTTGACGCTGCTAATTACTATTGAGAAACAAAACCCAAATAAGCCCACCCATTTCAATAGTTTGTACTAGTTGTAAACTGTTTTTTAAGAACAAACTCACCATTGAATGCTTCAGCAAGATTTATATCTGTTTCACTGATGTCTCCCATTCCAAAATGAATGATGTCCAGTTTACATTCATGGTCAGCATCGTAGCTGTCCAGAATGTTCAGAACAGTTTCCACAGAGCCATCCACATCACCTGTGTGGAGAAACACAAGTCCTGCTGACTTGGTGTACATCAGACAAACACTGAAGCATAACTAAGGGGGTGACAACTCCATGCCGTGCCACATGAAGTCTTTTGACAACTACTATTCTCACTATTTTCAGTAGTCTGTTAAAACACCTCTAACAAGTCTATCAATGCCAACAATGACCTGAATTGATACCATAGGAGCAGAGGCTCCACAGCTGCTGCCAAGTCTGCAGTTTTTCACTACTACCATCACTGCTTAGATTATCACTAAAGGTGAGGTCAAACCAAGTTCCTCCTGTCCCACTTGAACTAATCTAGAATTATTCTTGTCCTTCATTTTGTTGATCCAGTACTGCTGCTCATAGAGCTTGTTGGGTTTTTTAAACATGTACTTTTAAAATTTTTTAATTTTTTTTTTTATATATATATATATATATATATATATATATTTTATATTTTACTCAGAAGTAAAAGGGGTACAGGGATTGGGCTCCAATTTTCCTGTTGCTCCAGCCCTGCAGCAATCACATCCTTCTGACTACTGGATGTTTTCTGATGCCCCTCCTCCTACTGAGAGAAGTTCAAGAATCCGTTCAGTTTTAAACTTATGGTAACAGTTCAGAGCTATGCTTCAGACTGAACACTGGAGAAGCAGAAAAACGACAGAGCAGTAAAGAGAACAGGACAGCACCTTTCACAACTATCGACAACACATTCTTGTCCATCTCTGTTCTCTCTTTAGGCCTTGAAAACATGAGGTGCTTGTTGGACTTGTAGAGCACTGCCTTCCTCTGTCTCCAGGTCAGATGGGCTAGGTTCTGTTGCTTCTTCTCATATTCCATCCTGTGTTCCTTTTGCTTTGCTTCAATAACTTCCATGTCCCTTTTCATCCTCTCCTGTTGTTCAGCATAGGTTCTCCACGCCATAACTTCATGGGCCCTTTGCTGGGCAGGATGACAGAAATATTATCTTTAAAACGCTGCTTTGGAAAACTCCACATTAATGCAACTTCATCTCTTTGCATCTCCTCTACAGGCTCACTCATTTCCTCTCACATGTAACAACAGGTTTTGCTGCAAGCATGGCAGAGAACGAGCACAACAGCTTCCTCCCTGGACTACAGCATGACTCAAGGCCCATTTTTACACTATGTCTGCACTGCAGAAGAGAGTAAGTCACTGTTCAACTCTTCCATGTGGTATTTGTCCAGCTCTCACAACACCTATTGCAAGCTGTATTTTATGCTTATTTTCTCAGAAACTAGTTCTGTCATTCTAAAATTGAAACACTGATACCATTAATTACTGGATTGTTCCCCGGGTAAGGTGATAGTGGGATCATATAAACCAGAAAAGCCTCTGTGCCTTTAGAAAGGGAACACGTTAGAACATATCACAGATGACCCCATCAGGAGCCCTTCAGGACCACAGTCACTGCAAAGCCAGCATGGAGCAAGGCAGGATGACCACCAGAAGCAAAACCATGAACCAGAGGTGACTCATCTTCACCTCCACAGACAGCCTGCTTGCTTTGTGGGATTGAAGAGGAGGTTAATGTGGATGCACAGGGATGAGGAGAGAACAGTCTGGCTGGAGAGAAATGGGGGCAGTGGAAAATAAAGAGGCAAAATGCAAATCCTTGTTCCCCTTACACCACACCTAGCTCAGCTCTTAATACCCATTCTTGGCCTTCAGCTTTCATTGTGCTACACAGGTGATTTAGAATGAAAGCTATCACTTATTTTATACTCAGCTCCCTCCAGTCCCACCTTACTGCAGTGTAAATTTTCCATTAAACCATTCTTTCTGTACCTCAGATTCTACTTCAAGGATTTCATCACCCGCCGAAGGGACATCCTTCCAGCCCATGATTTCCACTGGGATGCCCGGAGAGGCTGCATCTACAGCTTTGCCATTCTCATCAAACATGAAACGCACTTTCGCCCACGTCTTCCCTGCAACCAGAACACAGCCCTTCCGCAGAGTTCCTCTTTGTACGATGGCTGTGGTAACTGGACTAGTGAAAAGCAGAGAAGAAAGAGAACAGAAAAAGATTAAATTGACTCTTCTCCCTGTTTTCACGTCAGTGTGGGTGAGCAAACACAACGCAGAAGGTACTTGTAATTGATCACAGGCTGAATATTCCTGTGACACATTTTATTACAGCCCTAATAAAATTTTCAAGTAGCTTGCAAAAAGCCCAGAACCTGTTCTGTGCTCTCTTAATTTCTACACATCAATACAAAAACTGGCATTTGTGAAATCAGCAACAGAACAATTTCACACATTAAGTGACACCCCCCCCCCTCCAAAAAAACCCCAAAACCTGCAAACTCCAACAGCTTTCTGGAATTCAGTTCCTTTTTAGAGAGGGCACAACACACCCTGTTTACAAGAACCTTCAAAAGGAGCAAGATTTTTAAAGGAGTAAAATGTCATGTTACATACAATTCACCAAAAACTGTACATGTATTACATTATGACTATTAACTTCGTTGTTCCTACTTTTTTAAGGATGTGTTTAAAAATACATATGTCCTAGCATTTTAAACTACTTCCTGTGCTTACAGGATTTAATTTCAGTTTTAGGACGAATATTGCCCCATCAGCGGATTACTTCTTTTTCTGGCCTGCATGCTGTAGAGTAACATTTCAATGCTTTTTACAAACACTGCACAGAAACTGTTACAGTTTAACAACAAGAAGTTCAATGTTAAATGTGAATACTGAGGTATAAACCGCCTGAACAGTTGCAAATTGTTTAATTAAAGTTGTAAAAGCAGCAGATTACGTACTTACCCTTTACCTTTGTCTTTGCGAGACTCAATTACAGTCCCCTCTACCAGACCTGTAGAATCTGCCTTCAGTTCTAACATCTCTGCTAAAGCAACCGTTGCTTCTGCTAAAACCATCAGGTTTTCACCCTGTATAGAACCATACATACGGAAAAATACGTAGAATAAAGGAAGCGCCTACTTAAAGTAAGATCAGAAGTTGAAATATACAATGCAATAGAGTCCAACAGCCCAGACCCCTTTGCCTTCAAGGTAAGATGGCCCTAAAGCAATGAACTATCCATACTGCTGCACAGCTGGTCCAGAATGCACAAAACATTAGGAAGGACACTCGCCTTGCTTCTCTGCTCATAGCAGCCGGGTTAAGAATGCAGAAAAATCCTGACATATTCTGCTACAAGTATGTTAGGAATGCTTTTTTTTTTTTTTTTTTTAAAAAAAAAGGGCAAAAACCCCCAAAACATTTAAACAGCCAAACTGAAACTTGAGGACATCTACCACCTGGTCAAGACTCCAGAACATCAGAGACAAAACTGTTTGTCTGTTTTGTTTTTTTCCCCCCCCTTTGTTCTAATTACACATGATTTTTGAGAACAGATACAATGAGCTGCAGCATCCAGATCTCGAGGATTTAGGACAACAACATGTGCTACAGAGCTGAATGGAGAAGCCATTTTTATGTAAGCCTGTTTTAAAGTGTAAGGGCATGTCTTCAAAATGTCTTGCCTGAAATTTTAGAAAAATACTTGGGATACATTTAGAAAGACAGCAATAAGGCCAAGATACTGCTGCATTGGTTTGGACAAAGTTGCTCTGGCCACCACAAAACTGAAGTTCAGATTCTAGTTTGGTTTCATGCTGGGTTTGTGTGGTGGGGTTTTGGGTAGTGGGAGAGGGGGCTACAGCAGTGGATGCCTGCAAGAAGCTTCTCAAAGCTCCCCGGAAGAAGGCCAGGACCCCATAGGAAAAAGAAGGATAAGATGGTAAATCTTGTATGACCACTATAAAATTATGTTCCTGTGATTAGGCATGTGTTAGGAAATTATTTATTCACCCCGTCTGCATTTTTCTCTTCATGCATAGCATTATCACCCACCTTGATTTGGCACTGATTTCATACAATGAGCAAATATATAAGGAAACCAATTAGGATTACCCTGAAAAATATCCACTAAATTCCCATAAGAAAAATGAGATATTGTTGGTCACTGAAGGTCTGAGCCTCAAAATACAAGTATGTTTCAAGTACTTCTGGTGAGAGCCAGCAGCACTTAGCTCATGATAAGATGTCAAATACCAGGAAAATAAGCATTTTATTTTCCAGCTGCCAAATAAAAATGCAGCTGTATCCACATATTAGACATTCACAAACACCATTTTTTCCATCAAAACTTTACCTTAAGCGCAGAAATATTTACAGCTTGAACATCACCTCCGAACTCTTCACAGACTACATCGTGAGCCAGCAATTCCTTCTTTACTCTTTCAGGATCAGCTTCAGGTTTGTCACATTTATTAATGGCGAGAATAAGAGGAACTAAAAAGAGACCAAACAAACTCTTCACCAACCTAACCAAATCTTGCTGCTACTAGCACAACTGCAATAGAAGGTGAGTGCTGGTTATGACTGCTTAGAACAAATTCTCTCACTTGGTGCCTATTCCTGAACAGCCACGGGGATCTGAGCTACCGTGAGTAAGCTGGAGGAGTTATCCTAGTAGGGAAGGGGAAAAAACCCAAAAGAACAAAAACACCCCTCCCACACACCCTTATGAGTGCTTTTCTCACAAACCTGTAAGTCCTGCGAAAATATTAGTATTTTAGTATCTTCACATATTACTGCAACAGTGTATCTTCCAGCACCTTCCACGGGGAGAAGGAAGGGGACTATGACAGTTATTTTCCAAGTTCTGTGGATTCCAGTTTGAGGAGTTTCTCTTGAGAGGTGAATAAACATTGGCCAAGTGCTCATTATTTGAGCCACACAGTAAGACACACCTCAGATACTAACTTTGTGTCCTGGGCTTGCCATTCCCTTCAAAACATACTATGAACAAATTAAGCCCCGTACCTCCTGCATTTTTAGCATGCTGGATGGACTCTACAGTTTGTTGCATCACCCCATCTTCTGCTGCCACAACCAGGATGACGATGTCAGTAACATGGGTACCTCTTGCTCGCATGGCTGAAAAAGCTGCATGTCCAGGAGTATCAAGAAAAGTTATCTTTTCCCCAGAAGGCAAATGCACTGTGAACAAATGCATACAGTGCATTTTAAAATCAGCTTTATTTGACCTATTGTAAATCAAGCATTGCTCCTTTGAGAACTTTTTTCATGATGAAGACATGTTTTAGGCAGACAGATAACTGTTGGTATGGAGGCCAAAAGTGCTTTTAACTCCTGAGGGGGGAAAAAAAAAAAAAAAAAAAAAAAGTGTCCTGGGATCTTTCAGAACCCAAAACAGCCTAAATATAATTTCAACTGCACAGAGAATCAACTTCAAGGTTCCATCCACATAGTTATGACAGTTATCCCAAGTTATGATTTCCTTTTTCACTGTTTACATATAAACTATTTATGTTGGAACAGTTTTCCCCAACGAACCAGCAGCAAGTCAGCCCACTATGCAACATGGAGGATAAACTGTTTGATACACAAGCACGTACACGTGAATCATACCAAGAAAAGCCCCGATGTGTTGTGTAATGCCTCCTGCTTCCATGGATGCCACTTGAGTTTTTCTCAGACTGTCAAGTAAGGTTGTTTTCCCATGATCAACATGGCCCAAGATAGTAACAACCGGGGGCCGTGGGGTTAGTGCTGCTGGGTCTGCAGGAGGCCTACAATTAAAACAAAACATGGTTTGTAAATGTCAAAACAATTCTGAGTGACATGCGTGCCCACTATGGTGAACAAAGAGCCATTTTCCGGAATTCAGTGATGAAGAGGTGAGGCTCACTTCTTCCTCCTGGGATCACAACTCCTAGCTACACCACACAGCTACCCCTCTTAGTGCTCAGTCTGACTGCTGCATCAATTAACACAGCAATTCAGCAGAACAAATGAGAACCGCCTTTTCTTCAGAAAATGGCACAGCAAAATCTCACCTAAACCAAATAAAATCCAAGAATCAGTTTTATAAACAAAGAAATAAAAATAGTGAACTCCACCTTTGAAATATTAAGACTTAAGATTATCAACATACCATCAGAACAAAGAAAATACCATGTATGAAAAACACATGCAGAAACAAACAGGATAAACAGAGTCTAAAGGAACAGTTCACAGCTTACCTTTTCACAGCATCTGTGTTTACTCTTTCTTTTTCCTCTTTCAGTTTTGCTGATTTAAACTTCATGCCTGATTTTTTGACAATTAGCTTGATATGGTCTTCATACAAAATCGAATCTGGTTCTACTGAATCAAGGTCAATGTCTGTGTACAGCAGCACTTCATAAATATGATCTGTAGAAAAAATAAAAGACATTTAACAATTACATCCACAAAAACATGTGGGACAACACCCCCAC